TGTAATCCGATCCTGGATCCGTCTCTGAATGTCAATCCTTCACTCATTTTTGTAGAACCCTTAATTTGTATATTTGTGAAAGGCAATATATATAATACATGGGATACTTCCAAAATGGCTTAGGAAGATCATCCACCAAGCGAAAAAAATGCTTCATCGATCATCATTACACCTAGAATTCAAGCACAGGATATGATTCCTGTGAGAAAATCCGGGACAATGCTTGCCATGATCATCATTAGGCTTTCAATTAACATCATACACACACGAGAGTCAAGGCAAAGTATATGAAGTGATACATTGATTTTTGAAGGCCAGCAAGGTAATAGGCTATTGCTCCTGGTGTTACCGAGATAAATAGGAGGTATGGAATGGAAGACATTGTGTTTCCTACAACAAATGCAGCCACGCTCTAGTGCCCATTCAATCTTTCTCGTGTGAAAATCTGAAAATTTACAAATGAAATTAGAGGGAAAATATTGAGGAATTTCGTTAAGTGTAAGATCAGATGAATAAGGAGCTTACTTTAATATCCTGCACAAGAAGAATGGAACCCACCAATTGCCATGAAGGTCAAAAATGACTCGACAAACATAAGCACGAACCTCTGGCCGGACAAGAACACAAAGTATAAGAGTTCATTAGTTTGCAATACATTAAGGTTCTTGCTTAATGTGACGTATATTAACTAATTCATGTCGATTTTTAGTGTATTTCCATTTTAATTTCATTCATACTTCTACAAAATGCTCATCTTTTATTTTAACTCTCATCTTGAATGGAGACATAACAAAGTCTAATGTCGTAAAAGATCATCCCTACGCATGTGCAGAGTGCAATGTATATGGCCAGATGAAGCCAGTAATAACCCAGATCACCATACATGTTCTCAAAAGCTCTCTGATAGGACAAGGCATTGAGTAATAAATCCCGCCTGCCTTCCCTTGATCTCCAATGATCCACCATTCTACAATGCAAACATAAGGTCGTCTCATATACAATGTTCTGCTCTACTATTTAACATTATTTATTAGTACAAAATCCATTTATACCTGTTGGCATATCTCATTTACGCGGTGTTGTACATGTTTGTAAGCTTCTGATGATTTGTATGAAATTGAAAGAATGTTAATTGCTTCTATGGCGCTTGTGATTCCACCAAGTTCAACATCCTATTTCCAACACTCGATTTTGATAAGTTCATTTCTCCACCTTTTAAGTAGAAATAATATACTTAATTGAAAGAAAGAAAAAATAGTAATGTGCATGTATTTCTCTCAACTCACAGAATCAAAGTCCTTATTAGTTGTTCTGAGGTAATGATCTGATGAATTCCTCAGAGGTGGACAGGGGAAGCCATTTGAAGCAAAAAACTATTTTAAAATTGTGAACACGTTATATATTATTTATATTGAAAAAGAATCAAGAAAATTTATCCTCGAATACACAAATTTTATCTGGTTTGCCAGGGGACAGAAGGCTAAGATTGTGAAAAAGCTCGAATAGATCACTACTTGGCTGATGAATGAACACAATTACAGTTCTTTTGTCTTGTTCGGCGATTTTGATAATCCGACTCATAACATGTGGTAAGAAGCTGCACCGTCCAATCCACTTGTAGGCTCATCAATTTTGTCATTAAGGTATCATCTTGAGTCACATAGGCCTGAATCATGGTGTGCATAGTGGAATTGAGCCTCAATCGAATATTTCACATAGAAGATTTATTTTCAAGATTCCAACACTGCAAGACTTATAAGTATAAATTGAAAAGGAATTTGAGTTTTGCTTTTCTTATCGAAGTACCAAATGCTGGTGCTTGCTTGCAAAGCATTGATAAGTATCTCTCCATTCTGCCCTATGTTAGTATCTAGCCTTACTGCCATTATATTTGTTGATTAATATTGGTAAAACTGGTAGCTATTGAAACCCAAGGAAAAAATTGAATAGTAGACATAGCGTGACTGGTTTTTTTTTTTTTGCCATGAATTCTATTCACTCTAGTAAATTTATGGAACTGTAAAAGAGTTTCATAAACATGTATGTTGGGTTTTGAAACTCAATGAATCCCGGGCAATTATATAAATGTTGAATTAAATTGTTATCAACAATCAAATCCAAAGGTTCAATCCGAATACAACGTGGGCCGTTGGCAGTCAACTAAAACAATTAATGTTGCTCATGGCCCATATATTACCTCTGGATGGATTTGAATCTTGGCCAATTTAACCTCTTTTATTCTTCCAACTAAAGCCTAACATAGCCTATGTAAATGGTGTCTTTGCCCTAGCCGTTTTGTGTGTAAGAAAGAGAGAAAAACATGGCTGTGCGTGCTTGCTGTGAAGAATATTTGGCTGGTAATTGAGAGGAAAACCAGCCACAAAGTGGGAGATAACGTGCTACCTTTGGAGAGTGAACTGGTGACTCTCTCATTCGTTTGTCTCCTCTTTGTGCCTTATTCTATTGTTTTTCGCGTGCCTTTGTGGCTTACAAATTATCACTATTATTTCGTCCTTTGTGGGTGAAATTGAAAAACAATCGAGGTGAATGTATTGGTTGTGGGTTGAAATCCGAAAATACCGTTTTGACAATCTTGGAGCAAACTTCCACAACAATGTATAAAGTTTTTTTTTATAAAATTTTAATTGGAATTTCCATAGAAAAAAAGGAATGCCAAAAATAAAGGGAATTTCAATCAACTTCTAGAATGGCAGCCTGAGGCATTTCCACATGACTAAATTTGTTTAGAATGGAGATAAAACTTAAAACTCGAATTGGGCAGGGGCCGCGCGAACGCAGGCCCCCTCTAACACAAATTATGACGTAGGCTCGACCACTTGGGCCGACCTTAGACGGGCGCCCCTCCTAAGTGCAATGGAGGTCGCCAATCCAGGCCATGGGCCTTCCTGATCGCCCATTGACCCCGTCCAGGTAAGTATGTAGCCAGTACTCCTACCTTCCAATTATATAGCCCACAAGTCCAATATCCAATAAGTTTCCAATCGATGTGGGATCAATGAATCCATTGAAATGTTGTTTTCCCCTTTGTACTACTAGTCTACTACCGTAGCTTAGTGGGGAGAAAAACAGAACCAAGTTTTTCTTTACTTTGCAGAACAGAGTGGAGCTATGGGAGAACATCTTGTGGTGGCACTTCCTTAGAGATTTCCTCCAACCGAAGGCATACTTGTGCTTCTGCTGTGTTGATTACGGATATGGCATCCTNGGTGGCACTTCCTTAGAGATTTCCTCCAACCGAAGGCATACTTGAGCTTCTGCTGTGGTGATTACGGATATGGCATCCTCAACCTCTTCGATAGAGGGTCTTGGCGGCAGTGATTTGTAGATTTTCATGATTTATTCAACTATGTTCCGCATAAGCAGGTGATGGATTTTTCTGGGCCACCATAGCTATAGCCAGAAGAAAATGTGAACTGTATCGGGTATGGAGGGACCTCGAGCATTGGTGAAGTTGTGTAGATTGATCCATGAAAATTCCCTTAACTTGGTTTTTGTGGTGATGGAGACAAGTTACATGTTGAGAAAACTGAGGGTGTTTGGTATTTGACAGGTGCCAAGCTCCACTAGTGCTATATAGCATTACTCAAAATCTTTTGTATCTTTTGGACATGCACGTTTATTACACTACACAAATGAGATATATTTCTGTGCAACTCTGTTGCTTAATTATGCCTAATCCAATAAACAGAAAATTATAATATAATTTCATTTGCATATTGTGATTTATCTTAACTAATTCATGTCGGTTTTTAGTGTACTTCCATTTTAATTTCATCCATACTTCTACAAATTGCTCATCTTTTATTTTAACGCTCACCTGAATGGAGCCATAACAAAGTCCAATGTCATAAAAGATCGTCCCTGTGCATGTGCAAAGTGCAATGTCCAGACGAAGCCAGTGTACACATTCACAAAAGATCTCTGTTAGGTTAAGGCATTGAGTAATAAATCCGGCCTGCCTTGCCTTGATCTCCAATGATTCCCCATTCTAAAATGCAAACATAATTCTGCTTTACTATTTAACATTATTTATTAGTACAAAAATCTATTTACACCTGTTTGCATATCTCATTTACGTGTTGTTTTACATGTTTGTTAGCTTATGATGATTTGTGTGAATTTGAAAAAATGTCAATTGCTTCTGTGCCACCAAATCCTTGTTCAATATCCTATGTCCAACACACGATTTTGATAAGTTAATTTCTCCGCCTTTCAAGTAGAAATAATATACATAACTGAAAGAAAGAAAAAATATTAATGTGCATGTATTTCTCTCAACTCACAGAATCAAAGTCCTTATTAGATGTTCTGAGGTAATGATCTGATGGATTCCTCACAGGTGGACAGGGGAAGCCATTTGAAGCAAAGAAGTGTTTCAAAATTGTGAACACATTATATATTATTTATATTGAAAAAGAATTGAGAAAATTTATCGTTGAATACACAAATTTTACCTGGTTTGCTGCTGTGGCTGAACAAAAATAGACTGTTCTTCCAGAGGGCAAAAGGCAAAGATTGTGAAAAAGCTAAATACTTCTACTTGGCTGATGAATGGACTCAATTACAGTTCTTTTGTCTTGTTGGGCGTTTTTGTTAATCCGACTCATAAAATGGTAAGAAAGCTGCACTGTCCAATCCACTGTAGGCTCGTCAAGTAAGAAAAGCTTTGGAGGCATCAAGATTTCAATACAAATGCTTACTCTTCTCTTTTGCCTTCCGCTAAGACCTTTTACACTCCATCCTCCAATTCTTGTGTTAATGGCATCTTGTAATCCCATTTCTTTGATTGTAGTTTCTGCCCTTTCCTTCTTTTCAGATTTAGACATTGAATGGGGGGAGTTGGAGCTGAGCCGAGTAGTAAACAGCTTCTCTTACAGCTAATGTTGTCATTAAGGTATCATCTCGAGTCACAAAGCCCTGAATCATGGCAAATAGTGTAATTGAGCCTCTGTTCAAGTGCAAGGCAAATTTCTCTAGAGATAGTTGTATCAACATAAATAAATTGAACCTTGCAATTGCAAATAAATGCTATGGCACTCAATCAAATGTTTCACAAGGAAGATTTATTTGTTGATTAATATTACTACGATTGGTAAAAACTAGTAGCTAATGAAATCCAAGGAAAAATTGAATACTGGACGTGCTATATTGTTGTGGGATTGATTTAATATTTTTGCATGAATTCTATTGACTTTAATAAACTTACAGAAATAAGAAAGAGTTTCATGAACTTTTACAAATTTTACTTTCATATATTTTTATTGAATTTTATAAAGAAAAAAATCATTCTTTATAATCATCGGAACGTAACGCTACATAAACATAAGTGAAATAATTGAAGTCGTATCAAAATAACATCAACACAGAAAGGAACTCAAGTTGTTTTCATACAAACGCAACACAGCAAGGACTCAAGTTTTAGTTTTTCTCTGTCAAAAATAGAATTTGCACAGATTCTTTTTTCTTTTTTTTTTTCTTTCCTTCTATAATGGTTGGTATATGCACATGTATTTAGATATATTTATACAAAGCAAAAATTTAGGCCGAGGTTGTGAAAGTGACCCCCTTTTTTGCTAAATACATGTGTCTGTTTTACATCAACTACCTTAATCATCGAATATAGATGCAACCATTGCGTTAGGAATTATATGCTACAAATATTGTCAGAACAATCGAAAGTCAAAATAATTTAAACTGAGAAGAATTAAGAGCCAGAAAAATAATTATAGAAACGAGATGCAAGGATTTAATGGGAATTTAAACTGAGAAGAATTAAGAGCCAGAAAAATAATTATAGAAACGAGATGCAAGGATTTAATGGGGTTCGGCAACCGTACCCAATCCAATATACAAAAACTTAAATTCATTTACAGATTGTTAGTGACAAAATCTCAGTTTTACATTGAAATTTGTACATTTTATGAACAAAATCACAAAAGGTTACATGCATTTGAAACAATAAATAAATCATTTTACAGTAATCCCAAGTGGATCACGGAATAAGAATATGTATGAACTATGAACTACTCTAATAAAACGAATGACTGACACAAAGCCCTCCTGACAATAAAGCACAAGTTAACGCAAGCTGCATTCCTGGTCCTTGAAGAATTATGGGTAGATTAACAATGCACCTAAAACTGCAGAAATTGATCTATGATTCTCAGTAGCATTTCCGTGGATATCATCCTTCATTAGTTGTGATTTTCTTTCTACTTTGAGAAGTTTCTGATTGATTCTTGAGATTATGCAAACGAGGTCCAATAGAGAGGCTGCAGCCTGTTCTCCATGCTCGTTCTTCGGCAGCTCAAAATCGGCATGGTCGAGATCTTGGAAAGTTACGGTAATCTGCTCCTGACATTGCCAAAGTTTCAATTGAGATCAACATATTTGTTAATTATATAATTGAAGAATAACTGTGTGCATCTATACTTGGGGGATTTTCAGTAAATTAAGATTTGGTGCTCTCCTTGGAATAAAACTTTAGTTTGCAGATTGGGTCCTAGGTTCCAAATGTATTTTAACTGGCTCAAAATCACAATATGAAATCTGAAATCAAAGAGTCGAACATTTAAGCTTTGGAATCAATGTTAGGGACCGAATGAATTTTAAAATGAACAGTTCATCTACTGGTGCTCGTGAATCCGATTTGACTCCATGCTTTACGCAGATTTGGGCTGTGCTGTACAGAAGAAGAGCAGACAACCCACAAGCTGTGTTACAATATTCCGAATTACAATTCTAATGGGCCAATAGAGACCCAGAATGGACATAAAATTTTAAACTTGAGTCGGGCAGGGGCCGCGCGAACGCAGGCCCCCTCTACCACAAATTATGACGTAGGCTCGACCACTTGGGCCGACCTTAGACGGGCGCCCCTCCTCAGTGCAATGGAGGTCGCCAATCTAGGCCATGGGCCTTCTTGATCGCCCATTGACCCCGTCCAGGTAAGTATGTATTCAGTTCTCCTACCTTCCAGTTATATAGCCCACATGTCCAATTTCCAATAAATTTGTAAACGATGTGGGATCAATGAATCCATTGAAATTTTGTTTTCCCCTTTGTACTACTAGTCTACTACCGTAGCTTAGTGTGCAGAAAAACAAAACTGAGTTCTTTACTTTGCAGAACAGAGTGGAGCTATGGAAGAACGTCTTGTGGTGGCACTTACTTACTTAGAGATTTCCTCCAACCGAAGGCATACTTGTGCTTCCACTGTGTTGATAACAGATATGGCATCCTCAACCTCTTCGATAGAGGGTCTTGGCGGCAGTGATTTGTAGATTTTCATGATTTCTTCAACTGTGTTTCGCTTAAGCAGGTGATGGATTTTTCTTGGCGACCATAGATATAGCCAGAAGAAATGTGAACTATATCAGGTATGGAGGGACCTCGAGCATTGGTGAAGTTGTGTAGATTGATCCATGAAAATTCCCTTTAACTTTTGTGATGATGGAGACAAGTTACATGGTGAGAAAGCTGAGGGTGTTCGGTATTTGACATGTGCTATATAACATTATTCCAAATCTTTATCTTCTGGACATGCATGTTTGTTACACACTACACATATGAGACATATAATTCTGTGCAACACTGTTTCTTAATTATGCCCAATCCAATATACAGAATATTGTAAATTTTGTGACCAAAATCACAGAAGGTTACATGCATTTAACAATAAGTCTATCATTTACTGTAATCCCAATTGTATCACAGAATAAGAATCTGTATGAACTATGAACTATTCTAACCAAACGACTGGCTTTGATTCATTCTGAAGTATTGAGAATAAGTAAATGCAAGCTGCATTCCTGCTTCTGAATGCTTAAAAGAATTTATGAGTAAATTAACAACGCTACTAAAATGGCATAAATGGATCTATGATTCTCTTAATTAGTGGTATTTTTTTTTCCCCACTTTAAGATGTTTCTGATTGATTTTGTAGATTAAGCTAACAAGGTCCATCAAAGAGGCTGCAGCCGATAATTCTCCATGCTTGTTCCTCCTGGCTCCTCCTCATCATCATTTTCAGATGAATAATGGGGCGGTGGCAGCTCAAAATCCACGCGGTCAAGATCTTGGAAATTTACGGTAATTTTATGGTAATCTGCTCCAGACGTATGTGATTAATATAGTGATAATAGAAGTATAACTGTGTATACTTCCGGGATTTCCGTAACTTAAAGATTTGGTGTTCTCCTTGGAATAAAATTTTAAGATTTCCCTGAACAACCCACAATTTATTCAATTATTCTAATGAGCTTACTAGTTACTACATAAAACTCTTAACAGGCCTGCACAACTAGAATGGGCATATAATTTAAAACTCGGATAGGGCAGGGGCCACTAGGCACGACCGCTTAGGCCGATCTTAGACGGGCACCCCTCCCAATTACGATTTGGGATGAATAAATCTATTGAAATGTTGTATTTCACGTTGTATTACCAATGAATTCCAAGTGTTAGACGGAAGGCCACCTCGAGGCGGAGGATTGTAACTGGAAATTCAAGCTCCCTCACACTATATTTTGAATTAGGGGCTTTGATGCCCCGATTCTTATCTTTTATAAGGTCGCCTTGAGCGGGCTCTTCGCTGTATATTAGTGTGATGTTTAAGAATCTGCTGAGATGTTAATAAGGTTTCATCCCTATGTTTACGTATTTATGTTTTGTCAAACTGATGTCAATCTTATCTGACCATAGTTCAACAAACATGTTTTTCTTTTATATGGATTATGAAATGTTTTTCTTCCAATCTATCTTTCTGAGAGAAGTTCATTTTATATACCCTATCTACAAGATGCATTGTGATTAATTAGTGATTTTTTTTCTTTGAAATCTTGATTGCATTGTACTGATGTTAATCTTTTATTTGAAATGGATGATTGGATTTAAAATGAAATTGCATTTGAGTTGTGGTTTGTAAGATGTATATTTATTTAATATGTTGAGAAATTTTACAAGGGGAACAATACATTTTTAAGGTATTTGCTTTACACCTTTTCAAAAATACAAAAA